AGATGAACTTCTGATTGTGTTACACATATAATTCCTATGAGTGGCGTTTGCCCAATTTTTGCAGATAGTTATGTCACATCACTTTATGGTAATAATATGAAAATTGTAATGACAGAAATTATCAAAATCATAAATTACAACTTTGCACAAACAGCATTATTTTTTTCCCGTATGTCTCTCATGTTAAGACTTTTTTTTAACATTTTGACATTTATTGTAGTGCAGCACCTTATCCCATAGACTCCCATTATAAATTCATTACTATAAACATATTTTTGTTTCTACAAACTGAGGGACTTTGTCTTGCATTACATTGTCTTCTTTTTTATGATAACCCCACCTGTTTGGGAAGTCCACGGATCCTGCAAGCTCCACGTATTCCATGTGAAACACACTGGAGAATGTGTTCTGTAACATAAGCAGAACAGTAATTACTTACTCTACAGTTTCACTCACAGAGGTAAACTTTGAGGAGGTTTAACACAGAGGTAAGCCAGTATTTCTGAGGCTTTTTAATGCTATTAGTGTCTGGCTGCCTGTGTAAACTTAACATTGAATATCTGCAGTCACATAGCACACACATTTCTGGAAGGGTTAGAATTTTCCGCTCATGACAAGTAAATAGTTATGGAGCATGGTTCAGTGCGAAAAGCATTCTGCAAGCAGTCAAAACAAAAATGTTCACAATGGACCTGTGCAATAATCAAGGAGAAATGCAAGAAATTCATTTCCACATTCCAGACCACATAACAGACGTTGAGTATGAGTTTGTTGACAAACTTGTCTTTCTCTTGCAACAGCTGCTCTTTCCTAATTTGAAGACACTAGAAGGACAGTGTCTTAATAAAATAAGGTGCCATTCGAATGCAGTTCAAGAGGAGAAACCTGCCTCAGTTAGGAAGACTAGTTGATTGTAGACCTCAGTTTTTCACAATGGTTAATCTCTTTCCATAACACTCACTATGACTGGGACCTGGAAAATGAATTCATCAAATTAACAAGCTTTCATATCTGGACTATGGTGCAACTTCCAAAGACTATAAAAACGTTGTGTCAAGATGAGGAAAACCAGAACTTTTCCTATGAACAAAGTATGCAGAACTAGGTTTCTAGGTCAACAAATGTTTTTGTTTGTTTGTTTATTTGTTTTTTTCCCCAGCTCAAGCTTAATTTGAATATAATGTTGGTGTGAAAGGGCCTTAACAATGACATCACTGTAAGACTTGCATACAGATGTGTGATTGAGTATTCCTATAACTCAAACAGTACAGTGTGGTGCCATCAACACCAAGGTAATTGGTTTGATTCCTAAACTGCATGGATTAAATGCAATGTATATTGCTTTGAATAAAGCAACTTATCCAAGCAACTTGTTTTGCATATTGAATAGTGACTGGTGTTGTCCTTTTTGCATCTGTTTATCTATAGCCTCCTTTATGCTGTAAATGCATTGTCATGTTATATGACTGTGCACTGCTGACATAAAACAAGAGCTGATTGCCACAGCCAAGATTAAGGCTCTTGTGATGCAGCATAAAGCCAAAAACATAAGCTTACCTATTGTAAAATGTGTTACACTGTTGTTTTGCTGCTTTGCAAGCACTGGTATTTCCTTCAGAAAATGTAATTTGAAATATCTGGTATTTTGGGTACATGAGGTGCATGTGTATTTGTTGCCATATTTCTTTGGCAGAGGCAAATAAGGAAGAAATGTAAGTGTTGTTCTCTGCTAGTGAGTCTGCTATAAAGGAAGCAAGTGTTTCTTAACTCTCTCACTCAGCTATGGAAATATCCAACACAGCCTCTCTTTTATATTGCCTAAATGCTGCACATTAGAACTGGTAAACTATAAAAAAAAAGCATAATCTTATTGGGGTAAAATGTAAAAGAAAAGGTTGCTCTTTAATTATGTCACTCTAAATGAGTAAATCATTAAAAAAAAAATTTTCTAAATGAAACAAAAAAAAAAAATTGCATTATATGTAATTTGATCTTCTAAACAACCCCATAGCTCAGTGGTTCTCAGTGTTTTGTTTTGATTTGTTTTTTGGGCCACTGTTTTAGAACATTGCGAACCATAATCTTTTTCAAGTAGTAACCAGTATCAGCTGAATCTTTGTCCTGAATCATTGTTGTAAACCTGCCTTAAATAAGCTCCCCCACCAAACACCTCTAAGCCCCTCTTTCAAAAATATTGCATGCTGCGGTCCCAGTGTTCTCAATACGCCTCCAGTGATAAAAGCTGCTATACTAAATTGTATTTTAGAACATCTAGTCTCAACTACAAGCAATTTTTTGCTTTAGGCTAAAAATACAGATTTCAAAAAGGCATGCTGTTTGAAGCCCAAGCTTAAATTTTTTCAAGCATTCTAAAGGGATATTTTGGATAGCCAATGTCTTGGTCACACCAAAGAAATACAAAACATGCTTGATATTCCCAAGTTTTATGATCACACACAAATTTTTTGAAAGTTTTAGTGAAATAAATGTGATGCAATGTTTTGGTCTTACAGCTGTTTCCCTGTCAGAAATGAAGACAGTGCATTCTTGGGCCTGCATGAAAGACAAGATAGTGGCCACAGTTTTCCTCAGTAAGACCTCCAAAGACTGCTGCTCCTCAAAGATCAGACTAGCCAGATCCAACAACACCTACAAAACAACCCCAAAAATGATCACTGCTTATAGCCAAGTTACTGTTTAATCACACCTATACAAAATTAATTCTTACTAAAATGTGGAAAAATACCTGGTTTCGCCTGTTCTCCAGCTGTGATGTCTCATAGAGCTGTGCATTGTGTAGCACTATGCCAGAGAAAGCCAGGTATGAAGAAAAGTCCTGTTGAGATGAAAAATAAACATATTATTATAATAAAATGACAGAAACTATAAAATAAAATCAAACTAAATGTGCAAAAGTTTTCACCCTCTCATCCTGTTCTGTGAAGGCACTGTTCTCTCCGCACCTTTTATTGATTGCTTGCGCCACTCCAACAACCTTTAAGCATTAATAAGATATAGCAGTCAAGTTTTGATAGTACATGTTGCAAATACTGTATAGCAGATCAGACATTTTTTATGTTTAAATTCATCTCTCACTTCTTCTCTGTGGTTTTTGATGGGCAAACACAAGATGCTCTGCGTCTTATATCCTGTAATTTGGTCCACTTCTGCATTAAACCGTGGATCCTGAAGGAGAAAAAAAAATCAACCACAATTCCCATTTATCCAGCATTCTAATTAATTATGACTTGCAATATGTAGACAATGTAGTTTTTTTTAATAATTCAAATCAATAGTTTTTTCTTCTTATGCATCCTAGAAATGCAACCTAGACACAAATGTGACCCTGGACCACAAAACCTTAAGTCGCTGGGGTATATTTGTAGCAATAGCCAAAAATACATTGTATGGGTCAAAATTATCCATTTTTCTTTTATGCCAAAAATCATTAGGATATTAAGTAAAGATCATGTTCCATGAAGATATTTTGTACATTTCCTACCGTAAATATATCAAAACTTAATTTTTGATCAGTAATATGCATTGCTAAGGATTTCATTTAGACATCTTTAAAGGCAATTTTCTCAATATTTAGATTTTTTTTTGCACCCTCAGATTCCAGATATTCAAATAGCTGTATCTCGGCCAAATATTGCCCTATATCCTAACAAACCATACATTAATGGATAGCTTATTTATTCAGCTTTCAGATAATGTATAAATCTCAATTTTGAAAAATTGACACTCGTGACTGGTTTTGTGATCCAGGGTCACAAATGTAAAAGGAATAGTTCACCCAATATAAATAAATAAATAAATAATCTCATATATATTGCATTTGTTTATTCAGTGTTGAGCTCTTTTGGACCGCTCAAACCACAGAGTATGGTATGCTTGGTTAGAATGCCTTGGGACTTTGTGTCTGTTGTTGTGATACCACCAGCCTATCAGCACTGTCATGACGTCATTTTATTCTTCATTTCTTGTGGCTCAGAAACAACTGTGTCCCTGAGCACAGATGGCAGATTTCCAACTGTGTACGTCTGGGGGGGTCCTGCAACACTCAAGCAACTGCAGTTCTGTTTGGCACCGTTACCGGCACCGAAATGACATACTTCAAGTAAACAAATATGTTGACAGATGATGTTTAATGGCACCTTGAGGACCTAGTGTTCTTTCTTAATTTTACCCTGTTCTGATATGCAAAAACATTATCATGATGTTTTAAATGGTGATGGTGGTGACTGCTGAATTATTCCTTGAATGTTCATATGAAACAAGTCTCAGAGGGCCATTAAACACTTGAATTTCATTCCAAACATGGTTAAGGATTTACCTTAATTTTAATTTTAGTGTTTTAAGATATTAAGATCTTCATTTTAATCTTTTTTTCCCCTTTCTCGTTCTCACTCTCTTTCTCTTTACCTCTTTTTCCTTTTTCCTCTCTCTGTCGAACTGAGGGAAGCACAATTAAACTAAATTACAAAGAGCTAAAAATACCTGCTATCATTATACAAACTGTTGGTTAGCAACTGAATTGCATTTAAATCTAATCAAAGGCCTTAAGAGACATAGCCTAAATTGCGTTTCTAAGGAAAGACTTTATTAGTGTTAGGAGGGTATTATAAAGCAGTACATTTTATTTCAGTCTCTGAAACCAAGGTGTGTCCTGTACATGACAAGGTAATACAGAGGAATCAGATAAGAGGAAAATGCTGTCTGAAATCCTGTGTCTAATTACTGAGATAAGCAGGTAAATCCAAACGGTTGTCTATCCACAGTGTCATTATAAGTTCAAAGGGCAATGATGCAATTTGAGGGAAGAAACACAAATTTGAAATTCTTTTAAGGACTGGACCATCTTGTTAAGACACAAATACCTCAAAATACAAACAAGAGTGTGTATTATGTCATATATTAATTTTTACTGGATTATTAGCACTTTTTTTCAATGTGGGCAAATAAACTTTCAAACAAGCATTATTACAAGAAGAGCTCATTTGTTTTCATGATTTTTTGTTGATGTATACCAATATTTTCTATTTAGTTTATTCAATTTGTTATTCAGGTTAATTGAATGTATTTAAATTTTAAAGTTTTCTTAAAGTTTTCTTAGTCAATTATCAACAAATTAAGTTTTTCCCATTTAGAGTCTTTAAGGAATAAAACACTAGAATGGCAAACAGCAGGTGAAATCACACAAAGCCTCACCTCATATGCATTCTTGATGTTCAGAGGCTGTCCGGTGGCTGCCACATATCCCACAATTCCTTTGTTCCATTCTAGGCGAATACCACTGTTGGAAGCCTCCTCAAGAGTGGATCCTTCTGCGACATCAAAGAGCCGGCTAACCAGGAACTTCCTGTTTGAACTGTCCTCTCCAACCAAGAACAACGAATAGCGGTCCGCAGCTATCAGCTCATGAGTGTGTAAGAAGATCTTGTGGCAGAGGGCAGTAAGGTCCAAGTGACTTGAAACATCACGTACAAGCTCCAGCAGACGAGCACAGCAGTCCCCATTTTCGTGAACTCCTGAATTCATAATACCTCCACCCTCATCTGTCCCATTGCCTGAGCCAGACCGCTGGGGTGGAGGAAGTGGCATCTGCACCCTTTCTGTATCACTAAGAAAAGTAAGCGAACCCTCAGCGTCTTTCACAACAATGGGGCGAAGCGGCCTATCAAACTCAGATGCAGAGATCTTTCGTGTAGGGGTGGATGGAGCTGGACTTGGAGATGGCGCATCAGTTGGATGGAGGGCCGATAAAGGTTCTGCCGGGGGTTTTGATTCTTCCCTAGATGGCTGAATGGAGTGGACACGCTCAGCAAACCAAGCGTTGACCATTTCCCTTAAAAAGAAAAATATAACCAAAAACATTAGCTCAGCAGTTTCTTGACCTAAAAAAATTACAAATACAAAACTGAATCTAAGTAATTACCCAGTCTGATTTGGTAAATTTGATTAATTTATACCCAATGAGTCTCAAAGTCAGGTCACTTGGTATTTATCTTGGTAATGCAACCAGGCAGCTATTTCGTAGGTAACAGTCATACAAGGTCAGCTTCTAAAATCTGCCCTCATAAATTTTCCTGTATCTTTCAGGCTGATCAAATTATTGTGCATGCATGTATACAGTAAACAAACTCAATAAAAAGGCTCTTTTAATTGAAAGGTGGGACTACTATTCCCAACGCTGCCATATGGCTTCCTTCTATACTGTCTCTGCTACTCATCTGCGTTTCAACTCATCTACCAACAGTTGGCCTAGCAAGATAAAACAGCAATGTAGAGAATTTTCACAGTTCACCTCAGTCATTTCAAGGTTTTATGCGCAGTTTGCTGGACTCATCTATATAATGAACTGTTACAAAGGTTCTATGTTACATTCTCAAAGTTTTCATTAAAAGTTGAATGGGACATTGAGTTTAGCAGCTCAAATGGAAACCATTGGAGTATATAACAACCCACAATCATAACATTTGCTGATAGATTATTTCCAAATCTGTCAAAACAACACTAACATACTGCCTTATATTAAACTAACACTACAATGAAAGCATTAAAATAGCCTATAACAAATGTTTTCAATTAAATTTTGTTTATTCAAACTCCAACATAGTCTCAGTGGACTCAACCTAAATTGTTCTTGGCTAGAATAGTTTAAATAAATAACATTCCCCTTGAAGAGACACCATCCAACCATTTCCTAAAATTAGTAACTTCCCCATCTAAAGTTACTTGTGCTAAGCAGTCTTAATTTATCCCAGCCAATCAAATAGTTAAGATTTGCATTGGTTGTTTTTCAGTGGCAATAAATTAATTAATTAATTAATAAACAATTAAACAGACAAACAGTTGGACTGGTGTTAGAGTTAAATATAATTGATTCAAAGCAAATAAAACTCAACTTTAAAAAAATCAATCAATCAATCAATAACAAATTTTGGGGATTCCCAAAGGAAAGGGCAGAGTATTAGGTGCTACACACAGCCAGGAGCAGCACAAGGTTTGGTAGAATTTGTTCAATTCTTAGTCTCAATCTAATTCTAAACTACTTTTGTGTTTTGGCAATATGGGTGGCGAATTTGTATGAATTCCTAGGATTCATACATTTTCATTTGATCTGCTTACACCCCACGTTTTTTTTTTCTTTTTCTTTTTCTAAAAATCTTTTGTATGAATCAAATCATACACATTCATATGAAATTGCAGAATTGTAAAATAGTTGTGTTTTCTAATGAAAGCAGGTTGCCTTTTTAATAATTTGATAATTTATTAGCCTATGTCTGTTCTTCTTCCTCATTATTTCACCATTACTGGATGTAATTTTCTGAGCACACAATAGGCTAGTTGTCTGTACATGTAGATGCTGGTGTATTAATTAATCTGATATCATAGTTAAGGCAACTTATTTGTTTAAAACTCTGCATTAAAGTGCATAAAGAACATCAAATCAAATCAATATATCAATCATTTCAATATATAAAAGTTGGTATTGATTAAACAGTGTAAGCAATGAGTATACATCATAGCTGTGTATATCAACTCTGGGAAGCTAATGATGTCAATGACGGGCATATGTCAAATAAAACCACCAGTACAATGTGAAATGATATGCTACTCACAGTCTCAGATATAATTGCTCTCTAATAAACGAGTTCAAGTTCCCAATTATGTTTACATCAGAATACACAGGAAAATGTAAAATGATTATGACACATTCCTTTACAAACAACAAAAAAGGTAAAACAGCTAAAGTTAAAGTTGAATTGAAGGCAAATATTTGGCGATGATGAGAACATGCAACGGTCTGTACAGCCTCATTACAGGACTAAGTTACGTCTTTAAACTGAACTAACAATCTACGCCTTTGAACTTACCGAGAAGCCTTTCGTGCAAAATAAGAATGTGCGAACTCTAGGTTGTCGTCAAGCCAAGCCTCCATCATCCTTTCACTTTCGGGAGGATAGACCTCCATTCCGCCTACACAGATCAGCCGGTGGATATCATCCGCCTGCTCTCAGTCTCTTCTGATGTTCAGTGAGTCACAAGCACACTTCCACCACAACCAGCCACCGGCGTCTAAACTTGCCCCTTAAATTAAAAGAAAAACTATCACAAGGCAAGATTAAACAAAACTCTTTAAGCTTCTTACCCATTTGGAAGGATACCTCCATATCAGACCTCAATTTAAGTGATTATGATTAATCACAATTGTAGCTATTTTTGTACATTATTAGTAGCTTGTGTCACATCAGGCTTTTTTCGTCCCATTGGCGCTTCTTTTATGTATAATTTATATACTTTTCACTGTCGTTTGATATTAGGAAATAAACTCCTCACAACCACTTCATCAAATCAATATCCCAAGGATACCATATGGGTAGTTGGCATGACATGTCAATTAGTGATTGTAGCATTCAAGCTACATTTAAAAATATTTTAATCAACATTTTACAGATATTACATTGTTATCATTTACAATTGTTATACATACCACTTTTTTTATAAGCTCAGATAATTAAAAGTCAGCATGGATTTAGATCAACTGCAAAAATAAACAAATAAATATTTATTTTAATGTCAGTTTAATGTTTACTACATTAACCTAAAATGCACTTTGCTTTATGGCCTACATGCAGTATACAGTCTAACACAAAATATTTAAAAAATGTCAGTTTGTCAATTACCCATATACCATTGGGTTTTATAAAAATAACAAAATTCAGAATCCTTACCAGACATCCGTCCCTTATATTAATATTGAATAGCCCCATCCCACCCCTAAGCACTGCCCCATCTCTGTACATAATGGTGTAGCCTTACCAGCAGATGGTGCCTCCTTCTCTCCTGGGAGAGGAAGATACCACTGAAGGCATATGTGCTCTCTTGGGTACAAATGTGATTCCATTGTATACATGGTGGCTTGGCTGAGCTAATGATGGGCTCAGGAGAGACTATGTCAGCGAGAGTGAACGGTATTGGAAAATGTTTCAATAAAACTTTTTTATATTGTTTTTTTTTTCAGTTCATTTATCAATGGCTGCATTTGGCAGGAACTCCAGTAACTTCCCACTATCTTTCCACAGAAGATGGAACTTAGGAGTCATGTCAGGACATGCTGGGCTTATGGTGGGATTCCTGTAGCTCCCATCTACGGTATCACATGCAACTTTTACAGCCTTCAAGCACCATTTGTCATGGTGTCCCCAACTAGATGTGCATGAACACACAAAGTCAGCTAGCTGGGCTGAAACACTGTCCAGATGTGGTCACTCAAGTCACTCTAAGCTAAACTACTCGGTTTGCCTTTCAGTCATAAGTCAAACAACACTCTATCCTTCCACATAATTCCCTGCACTACATTAAACAGCTCAGCCGCTATTGTAAACCCTAAAGTCAGTGCTATGGAGGATAGTGCTGGATGGAGAGAAGTCCTGTGCAGTCCTCCAATGGAAACAATTTTGAGTGCTTAGTTTGTCCTATGTAGCGCTCAACAAGACAAACATGGCAGTCAAACCATTTATTAACAGCAGGTTTAATGGAGACAGAGGGAATGGGATTGAAACCGGGGTCAAAACCTTTAAAACAATGGTATAGGCCTACTGCAGAGACGCAAGTGAACGTGCCACTGGATGCAGGTAATGAAAGTAACCTTAAAAATTCCACTAAACACACATTGTCCGAAATTTGCCTTTGCCTGTCTTTAGATGATACCATGAGATCAGTTAAAAAGAGTTATTTTGCTCGACAGTGTTTAGATTTTTGTGTCTTATCAAGCCTTTTATTTAAGTTTTTAAATTTTTTTCATGATATCCAGATGAGGTTCATGCAAAAAACATAACCACGGGAAGTTTGCATGATAGGACTAGGTGTTATAATCCCAAAATTAAGCACCATTTAGCCGCACCATAGAACATTTTCTCCTTCGCTGTAAACAAAACACAGCGAGACGCAGCAAGAAGCTAGCGATAAGTTTTTACATAATCCAGTATATTATTTTGAAAATTAATCTAATTTGGGTGTAAATTATGGAGTATCTGACCCCCTAATTGAAGCTTGAGTCCCCATAGAAAGTCAAAACAAAACATTGGGGAATTTATGTATTTAAATGTGATTATAATATTTTTTAAATTATAAATTATTATTATTTTTTTTTTTTAGATCTCTCAGTGACCACAAAAATGAGCTTACGATAGTTTAGTCAAGCTTAGTTAAGTAAGTCAAGATGCATATTTTCTCCTGGCTGCAACAGTCTTGTCTGCTCAAGCCCTTTTTGTAAAGACTGTTATTAGACAAAACATAAAAAATGGTTATTATTTATCCTTTTATTATAGATTGAAATCTCACAGATATATAGCTAAAAGTTAAAATGTTTTGTCTTTTAGTTCAAATATAAAAACCTTTTTAAATAGCAGACCCCCTTGAAAGTTATTTGTATAATTTGCAAACAGAATGTGCCACCTATTTCCCTTTTGATTCAATACATGCAACCAATTATCCATAAATCTTAACAGTTAAAGGGATAGTTTACCCAAAAATTTAAATGTCAAAAATTTTTTGTGGAACATAAGACAAATAAAAAAAAAAAACAGTTTTGAACAGTTTTTTTTTTTTTTTTTACCATACAATACAGCTTACTGTATACAGCTTTAAAACAACACAAGGGGAAATGGTTCTGGGTGAACTACCCCTTTAACAATTCCTATTATAAATACATGCACTGTTCACTGTTCACAAGTTTATATGCCATGGCATGCACATCAAGACCTTAGGTATGCTCTGCGGGCATAGTTACCTCCAGCATGCACAGAATTCTCCTTAATATCAAATCTCCTCTAGCACCATGGAGGGGTCACAAGTAGGGTATTTCGGAGAAAATCTGCTGCAGAAGAAAACTTCCCCAGTGAACAGTTCTGAGCTCCGGTTGAATATTGTTAAATATTTTTGGAGGTAGTAGAGGGGGTTTCAGGGGGTTGAGTCTTTCTTTCTGAGCTTGACAAACCACAGTGCTATCCCTGGCAAACATCACAAAGGTCTAGAAAGATTTGGAATAAACACAAAAGAAAGTGTGCAAGGGGAGGGCTTACCCCCCCCTTACATTCAGGTTGTTTAATGAGATATATATCAGGATGTTAGCAGAGCCTGAGCTAAGTTGAGCTGTGGTTTGCCTTTTGCAAAAAGCTTCTCTAGTAACATTTAAACTGCAAGCAAATCTCTTATGCTAACTTAACTGGAATACATTGCCATCATCAATTAACATTCAAAAAGACATTATGTAAATTACCACCGCATAAATGAACTAATAATGACATTGCAGTGAATGTTTCTATTTGCTTGCACACCATCAAGAATATAAAACACCTCTTTCAATATGAATTAAATATGAATTGTAATTATATCTGTGGTGCTTATTGTTGCAAAACTTGCTGTCATATACTTTTTTTTTTTGTCACTATTAAGTTTGATGACTTTTTGCATTACATGATATAAACATCAGCAGATTTGAAAATGTACTATACAAATTCACTATAAGTTACCTCTATCACAATTTTTTTAAAGAAAAAAAGACATATCCTGGTCTAGTACATACTCCACTAAAATACTTAAAGTAATAATAAAAAAATAAATAAAAAATGTTTTATTTTAGTAGAGTATGTAGTAGTAGATCACAATGTGTAGCACATACTCTACCAAAATACTAAGTATAAATACAAATTATACTTTTAGATGACAGAGCAATTTAAAAACATAAATCCACGACACATTACACCTCTGGTTATTAAGCCTCTATATTGTTTCCAATGGGAACAACATACAGTAGGCTGTCTTCAAGACTTTGCTGTCTGCTGTGTCTGGAAATACGTTAAAACATCCAATTCATTTTGATACTTGTCAGATCCCCAGTTATCGTTGTGATTTATAACTCTATCTCTATCTCTTCAGTTTAAACAGCTGTAAAATAGGGTGAAAAGTAGGTCTTTGCTAACAATAGAAGTACATCTGGAACACATTTGTTGGTCCAAACACACTGCATTATTGGTTACCTCTATGTGAACCCCATTTTTTAAAACTTTGGTCATAGTTTGATGTTGAATATAATGCAGATTTTATGGATTGATGGGATTTGTCTCAATGGATTTTTTTTTCTGACCTTGTCCTTCATCTACCTTCAATGCTAATTTCTACTGCCAAATGACATTTCTCAACATTAGCAGGTTATCACAATAAAAAAAACAACAACAACAACAACAACATGTAGACAGAATAGAAACAACTATTTAATGAGGTTGAGGTTTATTTTGTTTTTCCACTCTAATGATGTACAGGTATTCCTCTGTGCGAGCTGTTAATTCAGGGGAAATTGCTGATGGAAAGAACAGAGGAGCTCATTTCAGTGTGTGAAAAGACTCTTGATTTCCCTGAGGCAGTGTCCAAGATTTTGTCACGCTTCTTTCCACACACAAACAAAGGCTACAACCCCACATTTAGCAAACACTTTTAACCAAAGCGAATTACAGTGCATTCAGGTTATATTCTTTTTTATCAGTATGTGCGTTCCTGGGAATCAAACCCACAACCTTTTGCGCTGCTAACACAATGCTCTACCACTGAGCCACAGGAACATTGTCGCAGGAGTTGTGATGTGAAGCTAAGTTTGTACAAGTGGTAACACTTTACAATAAGGGTACATGAATAATCATGTACTAATGCCTAAATTAATACTTAATTCACCATATACTAATGATTATTAAAGGTGTTAACTAATCATGAACTAATGAAGAGCTATCCTTAACTACGACTGGAGTCATATGGATTCACGCATAATTACATGATTATTCATGTACCCTTATTGTAAAGCGTTACCGTACAAGTGTAATCAAAGACAGGCTAATACATCACAAATCTATATTAGGCTGATGTAATAAAAGTATGTCTATTTGTTATTCACACAACAATTGACTGAAATTAGACAATGATTAGGATCAATGATTAGGAACATCTGCAGTCTTAT